GCGTAATCTATGGAGGTCGATCACTTCCTCTAATGGACGACCGCGACTGTCTAAAACTACGCCTAACCTCAGCGTTGCTAGTCCGGTTACCCTACCAGACACGTGCAATGCTACGTAGACAGCGGTGTTCGAACACCGACAATCTGTTGATTGATTAAACTAATTCCTCTGTGGTTTTCACAGGAGGATCTGTCACCTTTCTTGTAATCGGTATGATCACCGATTCACACCATTCATTTGGAACCTGTTCCTTTTCCCACACAGAGCCAAGTACTCTCATACGACCAAGCGTCTCAAATAGCCCTTGCTGAGGAAGCCCTACTCGCTGCCTTCACTTAGCAGAGATGTTTTCCTACCAAAGATTATTATGCTATGATTTGTTTGGCACAGTCTGGTCTCAGACGTGTGTAAAATAAATAATATATAAAGTGGGAGGGTCAATTTACCTAGGGAGGTTGGCCAAACACCCTGTTTCTGAACCAACCAAGAAGAGGCGAAGGAATCACTGTCACACCTGGTTGTGACAGTGGTTATCGTCCTCATTCAACATCGGGACCTGATGCCCGCTTTGGATGTCTGACCCTGTACAAAATATGTATGATCCTATGTGACTGCATACCGACTCCCGGTGGGCTTCGATTATCACATGGGATCCTGCTGAATTGGATATCCGGCCTTGACTAGTTTCGGGTTCTGGTTCGGAGTTCTGAGAGAAAATCCGTCTGCTTTGCCCTGGGCAACCTGGCAGTCTTCGGCAATTATGAAATTTGAGGACTAATTTCTTGCTATTTGTTTGATACTTAATCTGGATTAGGACACGCACGAGTGTGTGTTTGGTCACAACCGAGCTATTCAATGCAAGTAATTTACCATTGAGTCACCATTTCAACTCATTACTTTTATTCGGCTGGTCCAGTTAGAACTCGAATTTCATTACCAACACTGTTGCTTAATCGTCCTCGGCGCAAAGTATCCTACTGTATTGTATTGAAAGATTTTACGAAGAGAGCTTCATTCTCAAATCGCTCGCCACTGGAAGATATTTTAATGGTTGCGTAGTTTGTTTCGTCAACCGACCACTGCGCTTAAGTTGATAAGCCTTCTGGACCAATTTCGAATCCCAGTCGATATGTACAGCTGATAATGCCTCCCACTTCGTAAATTCAGACCGTCTTAGTCTTGATTGATGCGTAGACTACACCTATCAACTTCACTTTTCATAGACAACCCAAACTTTCTAACCCTTGTCATAAACGGAATAGGCGAAAATGCACACTATCCATAACGAACCGTCTAGAGTACCGAATAATGGACTGTGGAATGAATGTATTTTGTTGTCATTATAATCCAGAATGAGTTTTTTCTTCACACGTGTAACTAGGTTGCCATATTCAACCTCATAGTTGATTTAGTATCTAACTGAAAAAAAGCTTGTTCTTTCTACCTCGCATTTCGTCATCTGACTTATCCGTCATTGATTAACCTTACCTGTCCACCCTCTGGTCATAAGACCGNTCGTAAACCGAAAGTAGCACGGATTTGAATGGTACGATAGCTCGCTGATTATCGATCTAAGATCCACACAATACCAATGTGAGTTCGGTTTTACTGAACAGAATTTGTGATGGTTCCTCTGCGCCCCGTTACTATTGGATACTTGAGCTTATTGATATTCATTTTTACGATACTTCATTTGCATTCCGACCCTGAAGTACGCTCACTGTCCAGATCAAAACGCAGATGAAAGTCACTTTTCGGCAATTTCAATCTTGAGTATCACGTTTATTTCGGAGTCATTAAGTGGATCAAACGTTGATTGCTGTTATTGGTATTGTCGTCGATTTAAGTCTAAACAAAGTAATTCTTGACTATTTTAATCGCTGGTAATTGTTTAGACACAGTACATTCCCAATGAATATCTTCCGATAATTTTTCTCGTCAAGCAGCGATACCGGAGAGAGTGAAAGAAGACAGCTGGAAGCGTGTAGGAATTCATGTATGGATTCGGGCGCAGAAAAAGGTTATACTTGTGCAAAACGATTGCTTGAAAACATCATTGTCAAGCTTCTTGATTGGTTCCTGGTTTCTATCAATCACATGAGAGATGCTATTTTTCTTCTGATTGATTGATTGTATGTAGTAGTTGAAGCTTGGACAAATCACAGACGCCACCGAAACGCTGAATCGGACTGACACTTGTACGGTAGTATCGCCCGTCACCGAGACGAACTGAGAAGGCCACAGAAGTAGCAGTTGCTTTATTGTGAAAAATTTAGGGGATGAAATAAGATACAATAAGGAAGCTTATTGGTGATACAGATCTCCACCATTCGTCTGCTTGTGTTCTTGGCGTCACAGTTTCTGTCTGGACCGTACGGTTTCCTATTGGTGGGCACAAACGGCCTGTGTTTCGTTATACGGAAACTGTAA